ACAAAGCTCTTTGTTGTAAACTTTTTCCAATCTGTCAATTAAGCTTACATGCAATTGTCACAGTGTTGTAAAGAACTTATGTGCAAATCTCAGAATCTTGTAAAGAACCTCTAGTCTGGTAATTAAACTAACGTGTCTGGAATGCTAAACTAATCCAACTATAAAATGAATTAGGATCAATCATTCAGACGAACAATTTACAAAATCCAAAAAGCTCGAGCAGTCACTCAATCCGACAGCAACGTTTAACGGCAGAGAAGCGACAATGCGACAGTTTAACAGTACAAGCGATAAGACCGTTTGGTATTCTTTAATACTTACTATGTATTGTTCATTTCGCCCCTATTACTGTTTCAGTTCGATATTGTATCATATCGTATAATACCAATAAAGGTTATTATCAATGCTGCGAAGTTAAAACAACAAAAAGTAAACTACAGAATCTTCCTCTAACACGATCAGCGCGAACTTACAAGAGAACATCAGAAATCATTCGAAAATATTGGCCGGTGAATTCCAATATTAGTTCCTGGAATTTAACCAGACCAAATCAAAATATGCCTAAAATGTGATTCGCAATTATTTTGGTTACGCAATTATTTTGGTGTTAATCAGATTGCAGAAGAAATTCAGGAACAGCTCATTGAAATCCAAAATGATAAGAACTACAGGAATGCCTCTGAATCAGTTTCTCTTGAACAGCCCTGGAGTAAAGAAGCAATTTCACACACTACAACTCGGAAAATCGCCTTGCGCTATTCTGTATGACTTACTTATGTGAACAAAGGTTTTCTGTTTTGCTTGTAATTAAAAACAAGGTCAGGAATCGACTGGAAGCAAGTGATGATATGCGCGCAACTTTTAGCAATAGTATTAGCTCCGGAATTGCCGAACTTGTAAAGAAGATGCAAGTTCAAATATCACATTGATGGAAAAAAAGCTAAACAGAATTTTCTTTTAAAAATGTTCCTTCTTTTCCACATTATAATGTTACTCTAAGTTTAATTAACACGCCGAAAGTTCTGATTAAAATATATTTTCAAATTAATAGGATTTATTATTTTTAAACCTGGTGAATCATGCTACAAATAAAAAAGCTAAAGTGGTTCTTGTGTTACGAATAAACGCAAAAAAGTTCCATGACAAAAAAAATATAAAGATTCATAAGTGGCTGTGTTGTGATGTACTAATTGGCATGTACCAAAATGTTGTGACTATGAATCTGAATCCATTCAATCTTTTTCTGTAAGACTTGGATGCTATCACTACATAGAATTGTACAATGTTCTGATAGTTTAGCAATGTATGCTAAGATCGCTATACCAATGTGTGCTAAAAAGGAGCACTTTATGAATGTGCGCTAGTAAAGGGTAGAAATAAAGAAAATATTGCAGCCCTTTTGTCACATTGAGCAAACTTCCAAAAAAAAGAAGTAATTTTTCATTTTACTCTGGTCAAGAAATGGTTCGGAACCAGTAATCTAAAATGTCGTAAAATGTTTGAAGTGAACTATGGAACTAATCCGAAACGAACATAATGATCTATGCTTCTTCATCAATGACTCGTCATTCCGTCTTCACTTTCGCTCATTATTGTCCTCCTCATTTGAATAATATCTAGCTTCACTTTTCGAGGCTTGTCTATTATTAGGATCAGGAATAATGCTGAAATGGTGCTTTCTTCCTTTATCTGTTGCTTTTTCGTCATGCAAAGTTAACCATATTGTGTTGATGCCATTCTCCTCTTCTCTCGGTTTCATGATATCATCCTGCAATATCATTGAACTGAATGATAACTCGACTCTCGTCTCTCTTATTTCAACACCTTCGACATAACAATCAGCAAGCAATACATCATTTTCTTATCATGGCCATATTAAGAACAGATAAAAGATAAAAGATAAAATATCAGTTCCCTAAATTTTAGCTATCAGATATCCCAACTTATTTATGAGACGAAACTGGTGAAAAAAAAATGAATTTTTCATCAGAATTGTCATACCATTCCTGCTAGGCAAAAGTACATTCATCATTTTCTAGTACGGAAAATGCGTCATTCATATCCTTTGTTAACAATCGAATGATGTTTGCGATCTGAAATCATAGTTCTATCTATCCACACTTTCGTTTGCTTTTTGTGGCTTTGAAATTTATGGATGAATTTGAGCGAGTTCTTGAACACTATAAGGAAGCATCAATTGGAATTCCATTATTGAAAAAGTATTTCTGCAAATAACAAACACGACTAGAAAGTTCTTAGATGGTTAAAATCATGTGAAATGTACAGAAAAGGTTCTGAATAGTGCGAAAATTTTGTGTATAGAAAAGTGGCAGTGCTGGAAAGAATTCTTTTTAATTAATATGGAAAATGGTATCGGCATATGGGTTGTAAGACGTTTAACAGCACGTGATTCACAAACGGCATTAGAGGAAGCTATGAGAATGTCATTTTTGATTAGTGCAGATGCAGTGCATCGCAACTATAAGGAAAAACATGAGGAATGCCATAAACCAGACCTCCATGAGGGTGTCATAGTCAAGATAAATGTTAATCAGCGTTACGCTACAAAGGCTACTGTCGCGAATTTCGAATATCGCGAAGCTCTAAATAAAATAAAATGATTAAATAAATTAATTACAAATCAGTCACACAAATTGTAACAATGTCATGAGTCATTCAACCAATTTTACATTCCTCAAATTCATTGTCTCATGCGTTTTCCTTTATCATCTTCATCTAAGTTCACATCCTTTCCTTTTTTTTATAAAACAAAGCACACTCACTTTGTCTAAGAACCGATTTTAATTGCTATGCTTAATGTTGCAAACAGAGCCTTTTGTTGTAATTGGATTTTGACAATCCAAAGAAAAATCTAATGCAATGTTTGTTACAAACCACACCCTTAAATATGCTCATTGTGTTAATTAAAATTGTATATATACTCAAGGCTATAACTGGATGGCATCATTCATTTTTTTCTCTTTTTCAAACACTCAACCAAGGACTGCACCGTACATTGTATCCTCTACTCTCTTCGATAAATATTTTATTGCTATCCTCTGCGTTATTACAATTTACTATCTTCTGCGAATAAATAACTTCCTCCTGAACCGAACGAAGAATACCTTCTCAGAATATTCGTCTGTGCCTAAGAACAAACCCTTCCAAATCAAACCCACTAAATCAAACCTTTATTTTCAATTTTTCCTACACAGCTACTACTCATAGTGTATTGAAACGAATTGCAAGTGTTATCGTGAAATTTTTTTTTTATCGTGATATAACTCTATTTTGTATTAATTGAAAAATTTTTTTTTATCGCGATATAACTCTATTTTGTTAATTGAAAAAAGGGGGTTAATATTTTTAAAGTATGACTTACGTACATTTCTATCGCGTAGCGGATTGTATTGTGAATGTACGGCCAGTTGAAAGTTTTATTATAATCCGTATGTCAAGTAGCATGGAACGATTTCCAATATGTGATTAAGAGTGAATATCGAGGAAGTATTGTAGATACAAGTCCGAGGAATATTGCGAGAGGAATTATCAAGCTAATCAGTCTATCCCCTCCTATTCAAAATTGAGGATTATATATGTTAAAAGATGGGAATGGTTTACATTAAACATCGTAACAAGATCTAATGAGAAGATTAAGATGTGAATTTGGAGAAAAATGTACATTTAGATAGATATTGCAAGCAATTGCT